ATGTTCACTTGAGTAGAAAAGCAGGGCTCAGAGGTCCCGCGTGGTGTAAAGCACTCAGTCATCATCTGAAAGAAATTAACAAAAACCTCCCTGTGCCTGTGGAATGGTTCCTAAAACGCAAGAAAGGGACTTGGCAGGAAGACCAGACATCTGTTTTCTCTTGTACTGAATAGGTTCACCAACCAGCCAATAGCTGCTCACAGGCATGTGAATGCAAACTGCCTGAAGCGTGGTGGACTCCATGTGGAAGGGGGATTAAACTCCTGCTCGTTTGACTGCCTATTTACTGAAAAGAAATGTGCTAGCTTTACCACCAGGCAAATAACATACGACGATCCACTGACTCCCAGCAGGCCTTAAGAGGCACTGCTGAAAGGCCTATAGAGGTCATTTTTTAACAGGTATTACCAATGTTGATTTGAGTTTTAAGTCCTTTTAGCTGGATATCTGAGTTTTGCTCTTTTTGTAGATTCTGAGCCTTCTGTTCTAAAAACAAACACATCTGAAAGGAGGCCAAGTTTAATAGCAATAGGCATGGACCTAAGCCTTTGGGAAAACCTTTTGGTAAGTTTCCTCAGGGTACTCTTTGGACAGAGCTCAATAAATATAACTTTTGAACATCCCATTCTTAATTCTCAATATCTGCTCAAGCTAGGAAGAAAGTTTTTCTCTCACTGAGTTGGCTTCTTTGGCCATCAACAAAGCAAAGATTTAGTATCTACCCTATGCCAGGTACCAAGAAAGGTACTGAAAGTTAAAACATGAATAAGAAACAATCACTGCAGCTGAATGCTCTCCACCTGCAATTCTTCAATTCAGTTTTGAGTATCTGTGGAATCCTTTTTCAACCCAGGATAGCCAATGTGTCAAACAATATTATATTCTCCTTCACCCAAACCCCAATCCACCCCCCACCACCCTGATGACTTCCCTAGTAAAATGCCCCTTAATTTTTTCTAATTACATAAGAAAGCAAGCCTTTACTATGTGGCAGGGTGAATTTTCAAACCTTTATGTAGTATCCTGGTTAATTCACTAGCAAAAAGTGGATGGCAATGGGTCCCTTATCACTCAACATGGGAGCCAGACCTAATTCTTTTAAAAAGTGTCTCCACAGAAAGTGCATGCCAGGCTCCCCTTTATCTGGATAGCATGAGGGGGTTAAGTCAATTCCAAATCCTCAAATCCACGGTGCCATGGAATAGAACAATGGACCCTCTAGCATTTGAAATATCTTTTGTCACTTTAATGATACAATAAAAAAGAAATCAGGCCCAGGAAACTCAGTCGTTCTACAGAGACGTAAAGAAATTCACCAAGTGCAGGCTGTTGGCACACTGCCAGCCATCTCTGAACCTGTGTACCGTTCCTTCCCTACCGATGATGTAGAAAGGGATCATTTTTCCTAGCCAATTTACAGTCCCAAGTCTCCTAAGGAGGCCTCTGCACGGTGCTCATTATCCATCCACAGGAAAGTGGCATTCAGAGCGCACTGCTGACACGTCAGGTAGGGCCAGTCTATGTCCAGTCCGGCGCTGACCGAATGCAGTGTAGAGAGTTCTTCAGAACAGTGGACATTTAATAGACTATGCCGCTTCCTATCACTGGCACTGAGGCGATGTCTAGGTAAGTGTTCTTAGGGCTGCTTTAAATAAGGCCGCTGCATTTGTAACAGGTCGTTAAAAGAGCTCTCTTTCTAACCTTGTTTCAGCAGAAGCCACAAAACAATGGCTGGCACTCCCACATTCCAGAGTGAGAAACCAGACCACCTAAAGAGAGGCGGCTGAGAACTGGTTTGGGATGCTGAGCTGACCACCCACCTCCGCCTGCCTATGAGAGACTGGAGAGGCTGAGAATGAAAATGTATGTGGAGAGAAACGCTGATGTGTTCTGAGTCTCACCGTGTGGGCTGCTTGCCTATCACTGCAAGGCAAGCAACAGGGGCTTGAACAGACCACTCAGGAGGCTTGCACTGTGTCCCATGGAGCTTGGCGGATACAATGGATCGATGTCTGACTTCAGCCTGAGGAATCTAACAGGTGAAACGCTGGCTGAAGGGGCCTAAAAGTGTGGGTGGTAAGTACCTACTTCTCCCACAGGTGCCAAACGTAGATCAGAGGGGGGCCATGAAAGTAGAATTGGCCCAGGGTAATACGTTACATCCTTCCTTTCAAGAAGGCTGCCCTGGAGGGCAAGGAGGTCCCAGCCGAAAGGGGCTGAAGACAGACCCTTAGATTATCAGGAGCTGAGGCATATATTCACTAGTTTCAAGGAACCACAGGAGAAAGATCAATTAGAGGTGGTGGTAGTGGTGTAAGAGACCTCTGAAAAATGCCCAAAGCATTCCACGAGGGAAAGCATCACCTCTCTGGCCAGGGAAATCAGCACCAGATTACATCACTGTCAGGTCAAGAAACTCTCCCAGCCCATACCCTGTTCCAAGGGGGGAGTGTTAGAAATCACAGCTACCCAAGTTGATAGAAGAGCAAAAAAAACATAAGTTTGGGAAATAGGAAAGAAACTAATCAAGCTCCCATTCCTCTGTAGGCTTATTATGACTGAGAGCAGACCTGAGCTGGAAGATGGGTGAAGCTTCAACATGATACTTAAAATTTCATCAAAAACAAGGGTGCCTGGGTGGCTCAGTTGGTTAAGCGGCTGACTCTTTTTCAGCTTAGGTCATTATCTCTGGGTCCTGGAATTGAGCCCCACATTGGGCTCCGCACTCAGCAGGGAGTCTGCTTGAGATTCTCTAACTCCCTCTGCCCCTCCCCCGCCCCCCCCGCAAGATCAATAAATCAATCTTAAAAAAAAAAAACTTCACCAAAAACAAACAAACAAACCTATCAGGATTGGGCATTTAAATTCCAGGCATCATACATGTTAACATCGGTAATGTGTTCTTAAAAATGAGACATCCAGGGCGCCTGGGTGGCTCAGTCGCTTAAACGTCTGCCTTCGGCTCAAGTCATGATCCTGAGGTCCTGGGATCGAGTCCCACATCAGGCTCCCTGCTCAGTGGGGAGCCTGCTTCTCCCTCTACCTGCTGCTCCTCCTGCTTGTGCTCTCTCTCTCTCTCTAATAAATAAAATCTTAAAAAAAAAAAGACATCCAGCATCCAAATGTTAACCAGGATCCTATTTCACATTTTTTCAAATAAGAAAAAACCATAATGTATTACACATTAATCACCACCCCCAATTTCCTAAGATGTAATTAAATACTTATTTTCCTATTTTGAATGTGACCTGTTATGTTGTATTGGGATATAAACCTTTAAAACATTGCCTCTTGATCACCAAGTGATCAATATGGTTGTTAGCAGAGGAATTGCTGTGTAAGCTGTGATTTCTTTCAGCACCAGTGACATCCAAGACACATATCCCTTTTGCTGACTCTCAGCACTTTTCAAAACCTCTGCATGTGATTCTGACATTTTACAAACTTATTTAGAATGTAACTTGAGACTCCCTATACAACATCATCTTTAAAATCCTGTATTGAGGTTGGTGTAAATACATACAGAAACGGCTGAAAATGTGTTGAAAGATAATTACATTCCATGAAGTTTGGATATGAAAAATCAAGTGGCATTCTACTGAAAAGAAAAAAAAAAATTAATGAGAAAGACCAGAAGTGAAGGGACTTTTTAAGATAATGAGAGTGGCCAGAAAAGTCATGGGACCTGCCCTGAATTTTATCCATGAGAGGAGGAAGCAGGAACTTCACAGAACAGAGGAAATGGAGAAAGTAGAGGGAAAAATAGAGCTGTTTTCTGATTGTGCCTTGAAAGTCCTGCTTATAAAATGGATGGGGACCCACTGTTTACAGAGGCAGGTTAAACATGCTGTAAATCATTACGCAACACAAATACTGCACAGTCACAATTAAATATACTTAAAACCCTCATAATCACGGTCTTCTAACAATGCCACAGGGAATTACTCTATAGTGTGGACAGATAATCGGAAAATCGTGGTGCTTAATATTTATAGTTTCTATTTATTTTAACTTCTTACTCTGGAGTTCAAGAAAATCTAAAATATGTACAACTCAATTCAAAGCTTTAAAAATAGTTAAAGACTACTTTAGAAAGGTGATCCCTTTCACTAATTCCTGAAATCATTATTTATGATTTCAAATAAGAAAGAAACCATAATGTATTACACATTAATCACGGTAAATTCTTTGAGTCACGGTAAATCTCTGGTGTGGTTCCTATGCATGCGTCCTTCAGGAGCCTCAAGGTCTTAGCAGGTAACTTAGCTCTTTACCAGAGTCCTTGAACTTCCATAAATTCTCCTTCCTTACGGAAATGTGAATGCTCCTGAGGGAATGATCACATGCTACTATTCAGAAGCAGCAGAAGTAACAAAATTACCTTCCTCTGTGCTTCAAGAAGACAGAGAATAAAAATTATTGATCTTTTATAAAGAATACACAAAATATCAAACTGGTGAGTTTCAGGCTTCAAGGACCACAAATGAAAAAAAAAATGCACTGAATTACATGAGTATCTTTAGAAGTGCGCTATGGGCACTAGGTGTGACATAACCCAAGTTTACATTTGGACAATAGGAAGACTAAGGGCATAAACCCTGCTTCAACAACATTCCTCTTCCAGAATGCTAAAAGTTTATCAGAAACAAGCTTTGAATAAAGCCATTATAGAACCAGTAGAGAGTAGATTCATATCCCATAAATAACCAGTGTCTAAACACGTATGACTTTTGTACAGATTTGAAATAGCATCTGTAGCTTCCTCTGCCCTAAACTACGACTGAGGATGTGGAGGCCCAGGGCAGGCGTCCAGAAGTAATAAGCAAGGTTAGCCAGGATGGAGGGAGAATGCCAACACTGATGGGCAAAGCGCCATGCCAGGCTTCAGGATGAAGCCAGGGGCCAGAGAAGTGACTACTGGCTCTCGACTTACCTTTGCCATTTGAGCTTGAACCCCACTAGCCTTCAGGGCAGACACAGCTTTCTGGGCTGCTGCAGGACTGTCGAAGTCGACAAAACCATAACCTGAAATGCAAAACATACTTACTTATTAAGCCATTATTTTGTGATAATGAAAAGAGCAAAAGATTGACTCTTTGGTTCCCGATGCAGAGCCAGCAGAAACGAAAACCCTGACGTCCTGACAGGTGTCTGGTGTTACCAACTGCGATGCAGCCTCCTTCTCAGGCTGTCTGCCCCTGTTGTCTCTCATGAGCTAGACAGATTTCCCTTCAAAGTCAAAAAACAAACAAACCAAAACAAAACCTAAAAGCCCCAGTTTTCCCTTTTTCTCAGGTGTCTTGCTTCCTGAAGAAATGACATCAAAGTTAACCAACCAAAGTAAAAAAAAAAAAAGGAAAAAAATCAACTTCAGAGAAATAGCATTTTTAATGATTTGGTGAGAAAGATGGAGCAATCATATGAAACTAAACAAATAACAGAAAAAAAATTTATGTTTATTCCACAGACTAAAATTCATTTTTCAAATAAATTAAGTATAACCATGAAATACCCCAAACATAAAATAATCGCAATTTCAGTACCTGATTAAAAATATGATTACTTATTTACTTAAAATACACATGATACCCCTTCAAATAAAGAAAGGAGTAAAAATGCCTCCAGATATCCAAAAGAGCTGCTTCAGCAGTTCATGCCCTAACAGCTAAAAACAAAATACAAATAAACAAACAAATAAATAATCTCCTAAAAGAGGCTCCGGTTCAAAGCTTATTTATTCATAGCTTCATAAACATTTTTAACAAGCTGGTCAGCTAATCCCTGGCCACACTAAGTCAAAAGCAGGAAACTAGGAGAAAAAAGGTGTCAGGGTAAGGGTAGGGCTGCTACAAAATGAGCATATGGATGGTACCTAGCAGCAAAAACTAGCAACAAGCAATAAAAGAGGAAAACTATACAAAGAAGAGGACTTAAGCAGCCTGAGAGCATAGGCCATCACTGATTTTTCGCTGTGATCACTCTTAAGTTACTGAGAAAACGTTAAATCATATCTAACACATATTTAACATATTTAACACATTAAAAGATCAGCGTACCAGGTAAAAATACCAGCGGAGATTTTATTGGAACTCAAGCCCTATTACTCTAAAATAAACTTTAAATGAATAAGAATATTTTGAAAAACAAAAGCACTGGTTGGAGGCTGCACAGAGGGGCCAGTCCTATCACTGATTTCTAGATATTGTAAAGATAGAGTACTTCTGACGGAAAAGTACTAGTGTCCAGACAGACAAACATACCTATCAACAAGGCCAAACACAGAGCTTGGCAAGGGGTCAAAGGTTGGTTTGCAGTATTAGTACCAAAAATACTGTCTGGTAACAAAACATGTTGGTATGAAACAGAGTAAACTATCAATTATAGAAGCAGATGTTTCAGCAGAGATGCGTTAAAGCTGAAATGAGCAGCAGCTTCCTTCTATTACTTGGAATTGGACTGAAATAAAGTCTAATTTGATTTGGACAGTGGAGAAACAGCCAGGTTGGAAAGAAAAAGAGAAGCTGGCTCAGGTAAAAGCAGAGAATGCTGCTCAACAGCCGCATCAGGAATTAAAGTCAACACGGTTTGAGCGTTTTTAGAAACCTGTACGTTAATGCTAATATGCAAGCCTCTGTGGGGACACACACACACACACACACACACACTCTCACTCTCGTACATACTTTATCATCATATACAACTTCAGCAGGCCATAAATGAATACCCAACTACAATGAAATGATGTCACTCCCACTGATGGATATTTGAGTGTGGTTCCCCCCTCCCACCCACAATTTTGCTATTGTCAATAAATTACAAAAAACAGAAGATCTCAATTTTGATGTAATTGTGGTTGAACTTGTTACCAGTCAAGTACTATTAGTATTATTTTATCTGTTATTTTTTTATTAGGAAAAATCTATAATGGTTGCATTTTAGTTGTTTACATCCTTTTCTGGCCTTTTCTAACCACATAGTCATTTCAATAACTATTTGCTGGAAACAAATATAACGGGTGGGCATGCAACCATGTGCTCTTTTGTTTTCTTTATTACTTTTCAAGTAAATATAAGAGTATATAAAACTGAGTTACAGGTTCTATGGGTTTCATTAAATAAATGAGTATAAAGGTATTTTTGAAGGTAGGATTCACAAAGTAATATAGTACCCTTTCACTGGATCCCCAGAAGGACTCTCCTCAGGTCTCAGGACAAGGAACAGTTATGGTACTCCTGCTGGTTGGATTTTCCTCCACATTGTAATGACTAAACCATGGGAATAGCGATTTTTTTTTATTTTTGCTTTGGCCATTAGGAAACCCAGGCCATTTTTGTAGTAACCTGAGAATTCCTGTTCTTACCCCTATCTTCCCATTAGTCAGCTTTATCCTCAGCTATTTTAACTTCGTGTGTGTGTGTGGCATTTGAGTGCATGTGTTCTAGTCTTGTATGTAACTCTGTAAGCATTAATAAATGGATCAATCCGTGTCACAGTTGATACTTTGTAAGCTTTTTTTGGTCCTGAATCGCCAATTACACCAGTGTTAGAAAGTGTTTAAATACCTTTAGTTGGCTAAAACCTGACAAAAATTGATATGCAGAAGAGCAAATGACTCATAAATTTTCAAACTTAATAACTAAGGTACATGTTATTCAGAGCAATGTTTCTTCCAGTGTAATTTTCTTTCTTGGAGAGGCTCCAAAATATGCTTTGTGACAAAAAAATGTTGTGACCTCTAAAGTCTCTAATTTTCAGGTATAAAATTCTTTGATATAGTCAACCTCAAAAAATTACTATATAACATGTGAACTTTCCATTTATGTGAATACTCTATAATCTCTTATGCGTTATCTATCTATACGTATCCATCAATTCATCCATTCACCTATGTACCTTCTCAAGTTATCAATGGCTAACATGTTGTCTTTATTATGAGGTACGCTGTGTTACTTCTTCTCATTTGTCCTAAAATTACTTTTTTTCAGGAGCTCTCTCATTCTGCTTCCAGGATTTTATAAACCCATTTTGCCCCCTTGGTCCCCTCACTCACTCACCCACCCACCCACCATAGATTCTGACATCTGTCTATTCCTGTGTGAGACAAAGAGCCCTAAAAGGTTCCTATGATTGCCCTCACCCAAGGCAGCATCTCCTGAGTCTCATTTTAAGAGAAGGTCTCCAGGACATGTGCTGTACAATCAGCTCTGAATTATTCCTTCCCTTATTTTGAAAGCCCCACAAATCTCTCCACTTATCTTTGAACACTTTCCAACCATGAAGGGTTTGTTATTATGATAATATGTCCAATTCTGCATGAGTACATTTTACTTACACCTTTTCTATATCGTGTTGTGCATTTTGTGGAATTTTGGTTCTAGGGAACAGGCTCTCATTGGAGAAGAGTGTACGATAGGTAGGGATTTTCAGAACAGGGGCGTGGGGAAGAACTCAGCTAGGGAGTCCTCTGAGTCCTCTCCCTCACTTAACTGGGGCAGCTTTGCTAATTTTTAGCACACTATCTGCCGTGTAAGATTCTTTTCTGCTGGGGGCGGGGTGGGAGGAAAGAAAGGGTAAAGCCATTAAATCACTTGTCTACAGTGATTTCTCTCTCGGTTTGAAACAAATGTTTGAGATCAGCTTCCTGTTTTATGCCGGCAAGAGTCCATTTTTCTTTATAAAACTGAAAGATTTTTTTTTTCCTGTGTCCCTGCTTTCCCAAATCATTTACAAATATGTGAAATAACACTAACCTTGGCAACTAAATATAAACATTTCAGTCTACAGTTTGACTCTAGTTTAATTCATTTAAAACATTTACTGAGTACCTCTCTACATAAAGCACTGCTTTATTCACTGTCCCAAGGCAAAACTGTCTTCATGTGCCATGTTGCTTAAACAGGGGCTTAGATATTGGCCACAATTGCTCCTTTAAATTTAGGAGCTTTGAAGAAGACACAAATACAATGAACCACTTCAAGTCTAGATTAAAGGAAATGGCTGGCTTCTAAGGCCAGGCCCTACCATATGGTTCATTTACATTCTTTGCCTTTCTCAGACGGTTCTAAACCAAAGCCAAAGCCCCTACTTGAAAAACTGGGGGTCTAATTAATGAGGAGATTTGCCTTCTCTGCCTATTCCTGTCAACCTTATTTCAATTCATGGGGTCAGTAGTTAGACTCAAAGTCAGCTGACTCCATTCTTCCCTTTCCTAGAGATCACATGCCCATTGTTAAGACGCTGGATCATTAAAAGTCAGACCCACGGAGCATCAGCGCTGCCTACTGTAGACGCCTCCTCTTCCAGCTAAAGGAGCTGAATGAGCTCATCCTAATTACATGGAAAACTGAAGGTCAGTGCATCAAATTAATGCAGCAGCATATTTCAAAGGGGTATATGACCTCCCCTCCCTATCACAATTTGGTCAGTGAAAATGGTTCTCTCCACCCCGCTGCCAATATTGTCAACAGGCATTCAGCACAGAACAATCGGGAGTATTGAAACATGTAATTAAGTACTGCTTAAAACTACTCTAGTCTAATTAATAGAGCCAATTTGCACAATATGTAATCTTTTCAGTTCTTTAGTACAGTCCAGTGGTCTTCAGCAAGCAGCTCTAATCTCCTCAGGCTCAGAAAGAAAAGCTATTTTCTAACTCTACTTCCCTTTTAAAGTAGGGGCTAAATGCCAACCAGTACCCTGCATGTTAGTTCCACTGGCATCAGATCTGTGATTCTGGCAAAGTGCTAGCGGCTGTGGGGTTTCCAGCCAAAACTCGACCAGGGACAAATGGAAAGGAATATGCTGACATTGTGCAAGACAGGAACTGGGGGACATAGATGACTTGGTTTTTAGTAAAATGGAGGTAGCAGATCAGGTTTACAATTCCATCATTTTCCTAAAGCTAGGATGTAGTAAATTTTCATCCAAGGGAATATACCTTTGCATTTGTTTGTTGTCTTATCCAAAATTGCCTTCGTGGAGACGATTTTCCCGTATCTAAAAGATAAAAAGAAAAAAAACAGGAGAAATGAAAATCAAGGAACCCTTAGTAATGTCTAAGTCCAGAGAACACACATACTTTTCAAGCATCTGCAAACTTTAAAGTACAAAATGTCCTATACTTGGGGCACCTGGGTGGCTCTGTCGTTAAGCGTCTGCCTTCAGCTCGGGTCACGATCCCAGGGTCCTGGGATCGAGCCCCACATCAGGCTCCTTGCTCTGTGGGAAGCCTGCTTCTCCCTCTTCCACTCCCCCTGCTTGTGTTTCCTCTCTCGCTGTCAAATAAATAAAATCTTTAAAAAAAAAAAAAAAAAAGTCCTATACTCAGGGGACAGAAAATGAAAATTCTAAACTCAAAACTAAACTAAAAAAAAGGGGACTGGGTAGGCCATTTGAAACTTGGATTACAGTCTGATGCTGACCTTTGAGGAATCAGGGACTTACCTGACCATCTTGGGACCAAAAAAAGGGGGGGGGAGGGGAGATGAGCTCCATGAAGTTACTTCTAGCAACACTATGTGAATATAAAGCCAAACGCAAGGCTATAAAATTTACTTAACACTTTGATAACTATTTATATTTACATAAATCTATAAAAATATATAACTAATATAATATTAACACCTCTTTCAACTCAGTAATACTAGCTACACATATATATGTGAAATGACATGAACAATCAAGAATATAAACTATGCACCCGGGATTTAAGCATTAATTCTATGAGGGTCTGTTATAAATGTGTTCGAATTCCTTAAGGTACAACAGATGTTGGGGGAAGAAGGAAAAAAATCCAGAATATTAAGCTTTAATGGGCTGCTACTGAAAATGAAGCGGCAGTATAGTTTAAATCCATGTCCTAATCCTCCACCCTTTCATCGTGTCCACACCACAAGGTAAAAGCACTGCTGTCTGCATTTGTCTTCAAAAAACTAAGGAAAAAGCTTTTGAAAAATAATTCTTAAAAATTATGGGGACTTTGAGAAATGCATATAATTTTCTTCATGGATCTGAGACCTGTGTCCTCATTTATACATGGTCAATTCCCCAACCTTACTTTCCTGTGTATTACTTTTAAAATTTCACGTTTTCTCTAATAATACCTTCTCATGATTGATCTTGAAGATAAAAAGTCTTAAAAGCTTAGGAAATGAAGCATCTGTGTAGCATTTTAAAGCATTTTTGAATACTGTAGTTTTCTAGTTTATGCACTGAACAAGCTGGAATATATTTATCCAGAAGAAGCAAATGGCTTGAACCACTTCTTTCCCCCGGTTCATTTTCACTCTGTGTAATCACATAATCAAATGATTACTAACCAGGCATGAAAGTAAAGATAATTTAAGGTTCAAATGACAATTACATCCAAGAGGCATAATGCTGCCCAAACACCTTCAATTCCCTGTAGAGATTCTGAGTATTTTCAACATTAACACAGGTCACTATGCTTACCAAAAAAAGGGTAATAATTTTTTAAAAATCTGAAAACCAGAAAAAATAACTGATTTAAAGACCACCCTTTTAGCAACCATTTCTCTACTAGGTTATTTACATGCTGGATTATTTATCAGCACTCTCTCCTTTGCAAAAGTTTTGGCTGAAGTGCTTTTAGACTGCATTCCAGTCTCATACCTTTCCAAAAGTATGGAAGAAAGTTCATATGACCTCCATTTAGGATAAGGGGATTGAGAGTCACAGATATTAAGAGACTTTGCTTGAGGTCACAGAGCTCAGAGTATTCTATAAACCAAACAAGAAAGGAAATTTAGGGAAGGTCAGGGGCTGGTCTTCTACCCTCTGGTCTGGCTCACCCCACTAACGATGGGAGAGAAAGGGAGATGTGGGAAGGAGGAAAAGAGAGAAGCCTCCTGGTAGTACTGGCACTCAACCCAGGCCATGCTCTCTTCGGGTTTGTGTTCTCTTTGGTCTCTTTGCTACTGTGACATTACTCCTCACCTCCACATCTATGTACCCTATACCTCCTCAGCTCTGACCCTGCTCCCCAGATATCATCCTACCTTTCTGGGCACTCTTTCCATGCTTCTTCACCATTCAGCCTCCTATTCTCTCTCCTTAACCAAGTACTCTCCTCTCAACCCTTCCTTTTCCTAGGAAATCCATCCAATGCTACGGTGTTATTTAAAGCATCTTCTCTGTTGGTGCCTGTTTCTCCTTCCTGAGTTGTTTTTTTCTTTTTTTTTAAAGATGTTATTTACTTATTTGAGAGAGAGAGAGTGCACGAATGAGTGGGGGGAGGGAGAGGGAGAAGCAGGCTCCCTGCTGAGCAGGGAACCCAATGTGGGGCTTGAACCCAGGATCCTGGGATCATAACCTGAGCCGAAGGCAGATGCTTAACCGACTGAGCCACCCAGCCACCCAAAACAACTGAGTTGTTTTTTTTTGTTATCCCCCCAAACTTTAGTTTTTGTCTCTCTTTCTTTCTTTCTTTTTTAAAGATTTTATTTATTTATTTGAGAGACAGAATGAGAGACAGCACAAGAGGGAAGAGGGTCAGAGGGAGAAGCAGGCCCCCCGCCGAGCAGGGAGCCCGATGCGGGACTCGATCCCGGGACTCCAGGATCATGACCTGAGCCGAAGGCAGTCGCTTA